CATTGCAGGCAGATTCTTTACCAGCTGAGCCACAAGGGAATTGTGGCTATAATTGAGATGAATGTATTTAAATTGAGAGTAAGGAAGAGAAATAGAGTTTGGTAAGTAGTTGCAACTTCATTTTTTAAAATTGAATTATAGTTGATTTATATTATTACTTACAGGTGTCCAGTGAAGTGATTCAGTTACACATATGTGTGTGTATATATATATATGTATATCTATATACATTTTTTCAGATTCTTTTCCCTTGTAAATTATTATCAGATATTGAATATAGTTCCCTGAGGTGTACATTAAAACTTTGTTGTTTATTCTGTATATGGGCATCCCTGGTGGCTCATGGTTAATATAATCTGCCTGTAATTCAGGAGACCTGGATTCAATCCCTAAGTCAGGAAGATCCCCTGGAGAAGGGAATGGCTACCCACTCCAGTTTTCTTGCCTGGAAAATTCCATGGACAGAGGAGCCTGGCAGCTATATATTTATATATACATATATATATATATATATATATGTATATCCATATTCATCTTTTTTCAGATTCTTTTCCACTATAGGTTATTATAAGATATTGAATATAATTCCCTGTGGTGTACAGTAAACCCTTGTTGTTGAGCATGGGATTAAGAAATACACACTATTTTATATATGATAGTGTATATTGCTTAATCCCATACTCCTAATTTATCACCCTGTCCCTTCCCTATTTGTATTATTTTTTAGATTCCACATATAAGTGATATATAATTTTCTATTTCTCTGAGTTACTTCACTCATTATGAAAATCTTTACGTCCATCAATGTTTCTGCAAATGGCAATATTTCATTCTTTTTATGGCTGAGTAATATTCCATTATGTATACACAAATATACACTATGTCTTCTTTATCCATTAATCTGTTGATGGATACTTAGGTTGCTTCCATGTCTTGGCTGTTGTAAATAATGCTGCTGTGAATGTTGAGGTGCATGTATCTCTTCAAATTAACAGTTTTCTTCAGATATATCCCCAGGAGTGGTGTTGCTGGATCATATGATAACTATTTTTAGTTTTTTAAGGAACTTCCACACAGTTTTCCATAGTGGCTGCACCAATTTACATTCCCACCAACAGTGTAGGAGGGTTCCCTTTTCTCCATATCCTCTCCAGCATTTATTATTTGTAGACTTTTTGATGATGGCTATTCTGACTAGTGTGAGGTGATACCTCCTGATAATTTTGATTTGCATGTCTCTAAGAATTAGTGATATTAAGCATCTTTTCATGTGCCTGTTGGCTGTTTTTCTTTTTTGGAGAAATGTTTATTTAGGTTTTCTGCCCATTTTTTGATGAGATTGTTTGGGTTTTTTGACATTGGGTTGTATCAGCTATTTGTATTGTTTGGAAATTAACCCCTTGTTGATTGCATCATTGGTTGTAATTTCATTATTAGTTTTATTTTGACAGTTTATTTTAGAATTGTCAGTGAGATTTCAGAAAATGAAATTTCAGATTCAGAAAGTGAAAAATATTTGCAGTATGTTGATGTCTTCCATGAAATATACATTTGCTTTACATTAGTATACCTCTCTAATGAATTCTTGGCCTTAGACTTCTTTTAATCATTAAAATGTTTTAGCATGAGTTTGTGGTGCTGTAGAAGAAAGGTCAGATCTCTCTTTAGGTATGCTAGAAAAATACTGGCTACTAAAGGCACTAAGTAAAATAATATCTTTGAAAGTTCATTCAGATTATCTTTAATACCAGAGAGTTTCAAGATGCTTTAGTATGTATGTTTCTCTATTAGGAATATAGTAGATTTTTCATTAGCAAAAGATTATGTATGTCTTTTTTCTTATATTGTGTGGGGGCCTTGCCCTTTTCACTTTTTTATCATTAGTGTCTGATACGCAGTAGATAAGGGATACATGTTTACTGAATCTGTGAACTGGAAAGTATATGGCAGGAAAGACACTTTTTTAAGATTGATTTATTTATTTTATTATTATTAGTCTCTTGGCTGTGGTGGGTCTTCATTGCTGCGCGAGGGCTTTCTCTAGTTGCAGCGAGTGGGAGATGCTCTTCTTTGTGGTGTGTGGGCTTCTAATTGCGGTGCCTTCCCTTATTGCAGAGCATGCAGGCCATGGTAGGCATGCAGGCTGCAGCAGTTTCTGTACATTGGCTTCAGTAGCTGTGGCTCTCGGGCTCTAGAGCATTGGCTCAGTGGTTGTGGCGCATGGGCTTGGTAACTCTATGGCATGGGGGAATCTTCCTGGACCAGAGATCAAACCGGCATCCCTTGCATTGCAAGGCGAATTCTTAACTGCTGGACCACCAGGGAAACTAGGAAAGACACTCTTATGATAAGCTATCTAATAGCATTTTTTGAGGCATAAACACTAAATTTGCACCTGGTCAGGTGGTAACCTGAGCTGAGTATCTTATGCTCTGCTTGGTTGCTATGCCAGCTTGCTAGTCCAGAAATAAACCAACAGCTAAATGCACATGGTGTCCAGAGCCAAGATCAACAAATACAGAGAGGTTATCTCCAAACAGAGATAAGTTCAAATGTGTAATGGGTTGGAAGACTACATAGAGATCAATGAAAATGTGGTTGGAAAAATTCCCAAGTCAGTGAATGGCCAAAATTGTATTCTGTTTTATGGTAAGGACCTCTATACTTGGAGGGAGTTTCAGATTTTTAAAACTACAAAGCAAATGGATTATATCCACATTCATGGATTATTTTACTATTAAAATAACTTTATTTGGACAGGGCTCTAGAGGATATCAATGGTATTGTTATATTAGATAATTGAGAGGATTTACCAGAGACTCTTTTTAAAGGAAGAGTCAGGGCTGAGGGAAGGCACACACGGGTACTGAAGAACCTTAGACTTAGGGACAGTGGAGAGCTGTTACCACCAGCCCTGGCCCTGACGGGGTGAGGGGACCGGGGCTGTTAGAGCCCAGAATAAAGTCTTATGGAGAGGGCTGTCCAGGGTGCTGCAGCCTGCCAGGGAGAGAGCCAAGGGAACAGAACAGACGCCATCCTCCCCTCACTCCTCTGATCCTCCTGGTGGTGCCTTTGATTGGCTGGACCCAGTCAGAAGTGGATGGACTCAATCAGAAGCCAGAGGGCAGGGGACCCCATGATTGAGTCTACACAGGGCAGCCATCCTAGGCGTAGGGCAGACTGGAGGTTGAAGAATGGATCGGAGGGACACATAGCAAATATCCAGCTTGAAGACTTGATGATTTTCATCTTTATTACTAAAGAGCCAGTGAGGAGGGGGAAGTGAAATCAAGTAATAAACTCATTTAACAGATGTCAAGAAATGTTTATGTAGAAGCCTATATGAGGAAAGAGTTTCCGAGAGAGATGGAAAGGCCAGTGTAAGGGCCCCCATGCAGAATGCCTGGTGTATTGGAGGGATTGTAAGGAGGCCAGCAGAGGCAGGAAGTGAGCAAAAAGAAGAATGGGAGGAGTGAGGTCAGAGGTGTAAAGGCATTTCAGCCCATCCCAGGGGGCCACTCTAGAGAGAGACCTTTACTTTTACTCTAAATAAATGGGTACAACTGCAGGGTTTCAAGCAGAACAGTGACATGATCTCCCATATTGTAGTTTGGGCTGTCATTTTTGTGAGTAGATCATAGTGGGTGGGAGTAGAAGCAGGGAAGGTTACTGTGGTATCTGGGCAAGATATGGTGCCAGCTCCAGAGGGAGTGAGAGATGCTCAGATTCTGAAAGCAGAGTCAGGATTTTCCAGTAGAGCTGACGTGGAACGTGTGTGTCAGGAATCACTCCCTGAGTTTTGTTCTGAAGATCTGTAAGATGGGTCGCCATCAGGTGAGGTGGAGAAGGCTGTAGGTAGAGTTGAAATGAGGGGAATAGAATTGTTTACCCTAAGAACAGGGAAATTGTTTAGTGTCTGTATGTATTTGTGTGTGCTCAGTCATGTCCGACTCTTGCAACCCGATGAACTGTAGTCCACCCAGCCCCTCTGTCCTTGGGATTTTCCCGGCAAGAATACTGGAGTGGATTGCCATTGAAGAGAAGGGAATAAACAAAAAGTGTAATGCTTTGTGCATAATCAGTGTTTGGAGAGGCTCTTTAGTGATTTGGAGCCTTCTAGTGGACAAGTTTATTATTAATCTTCAGGGAATTCTCCCCACATTTCAAAACCGCATTCCTGAAAATACTTGTTATTTAGGCTTTAGTTTTCTTTGGAAGGGTTTCCCAGGTGGCTCAGTACTAGAAAATACACCTGCCAGTGCAAGAGACACAGGAGACGTGGGTTCGATCCCTGGATCAGGAAGAGTCCCTAGAGAAGGGAATGGCAACCCACTCTGGTATTCTTGCCTGGAAGATCATGGACAGAGGAACCTGGAGGGCTACAGTCCATGGGGTCACAAAAGAGTCGGATTTGACTGAGCACATAGGCAGCCAAGTTTCTTCAAGTAAGAATAAAATCTGCAAATATATATATATATATGTATATATATATATATATATATTTGGCCACACTTCATGGCTTGTGGGATCTTAGTTCCCCAACTGGGGATTGAACCCTGGCCGCCATAGTGAAAGTGCTGAGTCCTAACCACTGGACCATCAGGGAACTCTCCTATGCAGCTATTTCCTTACACCCATGGTGAGTGGGAAATGTTATTAGATTCAGTGTTGGAAGACTTGGACTGTGAAACAGGTCTATCAGAAAGTTGACCAGTACTTACCTGCACTGCTTTAAAGTGTTCACTGTGTCTGGACTGCCTGGGGGAGGTTATAGACGTGGAAATGACACATTACGAGAATTAGGAAAGAATTAGGTGAGTGAGAATGACTGCTCGTTGGTATGAGAAGATGAGGATGTGAAGTTGAAGGAGGGAGAAAAGGAAGTTGTTAGGAGTAATGTCAGTGATTTGTCATATAAAATTTCAAGTTTTTGAATGTGAGGATGTTAGTGTTCCATCGGATGTCCCTTTGATTGTAAGCTGCTTCCATTTTCTTTCTAGGGTCGACAACTTTGGTTTGGGCCTTTTACTTCGATCCAAGCAGATAAAACGCATGGTCTCTTCCTACGTGGGAGAAAATGCAGAATTTGAACGACAGTATTTATCTGGTGAATTAGAAGTAGAGCTGACACCCCAGGTAAAAAAAAAAGAAAAAAAAATTTTTTTTAATAATGCTAACTTATTTTGAAGTTTACCTTCTTCCTTCTAGAAATTTCATTGTGTAAGAGAGGTAAGATAGAATGCTCTTTTGCCAAACCAAGAAAACTTGTTTATAAGTTGCACCTCTTGACTGCTAGAGGAATAATGTTTTGTTGCTATGCACTGTAAAAGAAGGTATTTCTAGTGGAAAATATCCAGGCTTCAGGATAAAATGTTAAATTTGGCACTGAAATGTGTATTTTACTGCAGCATGCAAAAGCACTCACTGAAATGTTTGAAGATGGTCCTAAAAGTTAACTCCTACAATTCATAGAATTAGAAATTCGTGCAGAATCTGGTCTTGCTGAGATGTATCAGGAAACTGAAGCCCATGGAAGGGAGTAAAACTGTCTGCATCACAGACTAAATGCTGGGGTCATACCCCAGGTTTGCAGGGAACTGAAGGGAAGCAATGACTGCAGTTAATCTAGCAAATTTCCACTCACTTTATCCACCTTTTCCTGTCCTATCTGATTGAAGAGTTTGTCATTGAGGAACCTTTTTGGCCAATCCAATATAGTTGAAGGCCCCAGTTCAAGTAGATCCTTGTTTTCAGGTTGGAACAATATTAAACTCACCATCATTAATATCGAAACCTATTCTCACTACTGGTCAGTCAGGCAGTTATCTAGTCTGAATATGATGCACTTATCTCACACATGAGCAAAGTAATGCTCAAAATTCTCAAGGCCAGGCTTCAACAATACGTGAACCGTGAACTTTCAGATGTTCAAGCTGGTTTTCAAAAAGGCAGAGGAACCAGAGATCAAATTGCCAACATTCGCTAGATCATCGAAAAAGCAAGAGAGTTCCAGAAAAACATCTACTTCTGCTTTATTGACTATGCCAAAGCCGTTGACTGTGTGGATCACAGTAAACTGGAAAATTCTTCAAGAGATGGGAATGTCAGATCACCTGACCTGCCTCTTGAGAAATCTGTATGCAGGTCAAGAAGCAACAGTTAGAACTGGACATGGAACAACAGACTGGTTCCAAATAGGAAAAGGAGTATGTCAAGGCTGTATATTGTCACCTTGCTTATTTAACTTATATGCAGATTACATCATGAGAAATGCTGGGCTGGTTGAAGTACAAGCTGGAATCAAGATTGTCGGGAGAAATATCAATAACCTCAGATATGCAGATGACATCACCCTAATGGCAGAAAGTGAAGAACTAAAGAGCCTCTTGATGAAAGTGAAAGAGGGGAGTGAAAAAGTTGGCTTAAAGCTCAACATTCAGAATACTAAGATCATGGCATCCAGTCCCATCACTTCATGGCAAATAGATGGAGAAACAGTGGAAACAGTAGCTGACTTTATTTTTGGGGGCTCCAGAATCGCTGCAGATGGCGACAGAAGCCATGAAATGAAAGGACTCTTACTCTTTGGAAGAAAAGTTATGACCAACCTAGACAGCATATTAAAAAGCAGAGACATTACTTTGCCAACAAAGGTCCATCTGGTCAAGACTTTAGTCTTTCCAGTAGTCATGTATGGATGTGAGAGTGGACTATAAAGAAAGCTGAGCACTGAAGAATTGATGCTTTTGACCTGTAGTGTTGAAGACTCTTGAGAGCCCTTTGGACTGCAAGGAGATCCAACCAGTCCATCCTAAAGGAAATCAGTCCTGAATGTTCATTGGAAGGACTGATGCTGAAGCTGAAACTCCAGTACTTTGGCCACCTGATGCGAAGAGCTGACTCATTGGAAAAGACCCTGACGCTGGAAAAAATTGAAGGCAGGAGATGAGGATGACAGAGGATGAGATGGTTGGATGGCATTGCTGACTCAATGGACATGAGTTTGAGTAAACTGCAGGAGTTGGTGATGGACAGGGAGGCCTGGCGTGCTGAAGTCCATGGAGTCACAAAGAGTTGGACACGACTGAGCAACTAAACTGAACTGAATATGATGTAACTAGACTGTAACAAGAGGTTTCATGTTAGGGGTCATGTCAGCAAATGTTTAGGGCCAGAGTTATTTCCCAGTAGGAAAACTGGGTAGAAAGGCAGGTGGTGGTGAGAGATAGCTGGGGAAATTAGATTTGAAATCACTAGTACCTAAAAGGGAGACAGAGTGATCAGAAGAAGATACAAAGACGTTTTTCATATAGCTGTTCCTACTCTGAAGCAAAATTTGAATTTCTCTTGGCTTTTTAAAAACCAGTTTAGCTGTATGTTGTAGTCTTTGTCATTTGTATTTTTCCTTAGTTAGATAACGTAGTAGATAAAATACTTAAGAGAACATTTAGAATACATTCTAAATACCTGGAAATTTTACATTATTATTATATAATCATGATATTTATGATAAGATTCAGGCTGTACCTACATGTAACACACAGTAAAATATGATATTTTATTGTATGTTTTTTGTTGTATACAATTAAAGTTATATACTTCAGATTTGAAAATTGATTTAAAAATATTACAAATAGACTTGTAAGATATGATGTAGAGAAACCAGTGGAGACATGGAAACTGAAAACATGAGTATACAAATAAGCAGTTCCATTACAAATTAAGGATTAAAAATAGAGAGGTTGTTGTCTAGAGAGACAGTCATTGTTTTGCATTGATCTTCTAACCTGCAGTGTTAGTGAGGTAGACCAGTATGCACTGCCAGGGGTGGTTTAGATGGATAAACACCTAGAGAGCAGGGACCAAGTGGCTAAGGATTTGTGTCCGCAGACAGAAGTGTGCTTAATGGACTTTTGATGCACTGTTGTTTGCTCACTTGTAGGGCACGCTTGCAGAGAGGATTCGTGCAGGTGGGGCTGGAGTTCCTGCATTTTACACCAGCACAGGGTATGGGACCCTGGTGCAAGAAGGGGGGTCACCGATCAAATACAACAAAGATGGCAGCATTGCCATTGCCAGTAAGCCGAGAGAGGTAAGACGCACAGGATTCCAGATGGGCTCATTGGGTAAATAAGTATAAAATCATACCTGGGTGAGAATAAAACACTGTCATTCGTTCAGTAACATACTATGCTAGGTACAGTTTCTACCTAAAACTGAACATCTGCTAGGAAAGAAACTAATCCATAGAAATGAGAGTCAAGGTTAGTTTTATGGTAGGTTTTAAGATATTTAGGAGTGTGTATAATTGCTGATTATGTGGAAAATAAAATACAGCTACTTTATTTAATACGATAATATGTATGGTATTAAACCCTTCAGGTTCAGGGCCCTTCTGGATATGATTGAAGAAGGGGAAAAAAGCCAAAGAAATCACAAATTTGTCTATAATCTTAAAAAGCAGAGAATGGTTGTAAATATATAATATGAGTAGAATAAATACCAAGTTTATATTATCTTCTTTATTCTTCATTTTGTACACTGAACACATTTGAGCCTTAGACTGAATAACTTAGTTTTATTTAAAGTGCTGGATAGGATGGAGTGTCTTTATACTAGGTAACTTTACTCACACATTAGAAAAGAATAGAACTCTAGATACAGGTATTTGAGATATTCAGGAGCCAGTTTTTAAAATGACACAGGCCAGTATTTCATTGCTGTATTTTTGGTATCTTTCCCTTCTCCCTGCCCACATGGCTCATGAGAGTTAACAAAAGTCATGGACTGCTGAACTTATCTCTAGAAAAGTGAGAACTTAGTATATCAAGGGGTCTTGTCACCTTGCTTCATGTAGGGATGTTAGCTGTGCCCTTGGGGTTTTGAGGGAAGATAAAGGTCATTGCTCTCATCCCCCTACTGTCCCGTGTATGTCTCCAGCAGCGTCCTTCATCTGGAGCTGTGCCTTTTCTGCTTAGGGTTACCTATATTGACTCAAAACTTTTGTTAACATTTTTCATACTCTATCTTGTTTCTTACCTGATTAGGTTTAAAAAGTTTTTGCAAAGAAAAAGACAGGAACCTAATTATTAAGATGGATCCTAGTTAATATAGATCGATAGCCAGCAAAATCTGGTGAAAGCTTTGAGAGCTTGCTAGAAGTTACATCATTAACTCACCCCATGAAAACACAGGATAGACTAAAATATGTCCTGAATGCCTGGGTTCATTTCAGCCTGGAGTCAGGTGTAGGCATCTAGCAGTTTTGTAATTTTGTCTGAATCCTGAAGAATACAGCAGATAATCTCTAGAAATGATTCTTGTTAGCCAACTTTATTTTCCTTGATTATGGTGGGAGGAGGAAATGAGTGAATTCCTTGGATTAGTGATAGTTATTTGAGGTCCTTTTGTTTGCCAAGCACTAGTCTTGCCTGGAGAATCCTGTGGATGGAGGAGCTTGGTGGGCTGTTGTTCATAGGGTCGCACGGAGTCTGACACGACTGAAGCGACTTGGCATGCATGCATGCATTGGAGAAGGAAATGGCAACCCACTCTAGTATTCTTGCCTGGAGAATCCCAGGGATGGAGGAGCCTGGCAAGCTGCTGTCTATGGGGTCGCACAGAGTCAGACACGACTGAAGTGACTTAGCAGCAGCAGCAGCAGCAGTCCAAATGTGGTGGGAAAAGGGATCCTCTAGGCCAAGTTCCCCTTAGTGGGGGAACTGACAAGGAATGAAGAGACAGACAGATGCATAATGTAACAAATCAAGTAGGGCAAAGGCAGAGAGGGTGCTGAGTGGCCAGGAAGGTGTGTTCCAGGCTGGGTCGGGGGAACCTCTCTGAGAGGTGATGTTTGGTAGAGACCTGAATAAGATAGGAGAATGAGCCAGGTGAAGATTGTAGGCTGTGCTCTAGTTAGAAGGAAGGGGAAGGACATGGTCCTTGGCAGGCTTTCTGAGTGTGCAACAGCAGGGCAGTGAGGCTGGAACAGAGTGAATGAGGCAGAGAGTGGTAGGATTGGAGATTGAAGAGAGGCAGGAGCCAGGTCATATGAGCTTGGACTTCACTGAGTGTGGTGAGGGGTTGAGAGTATTGAATAGAAGTGGGAGAGTGATGGGGTCTGAGCTACATTTTGGAAAGATCACTGTGGCTTTTGGGAGTGAGCTTTTTGTCCGAGACCCAGAAGCAGAAGCAGCGAGAGAGATGAGGAGCCGTTGTATGAATACTAATCCAATTGGAAGTAGAAGGCTGTTTAGCTTGAGGTGGTGACAGTGGACTTTGTGAGAAGTGGTTGCAACTGGGAAATAAACTTAGAGTAGAGCCAACACGATTTACTGAGTAAGAAAAGACACAGACCCAGCATGCTGCTTATTGGGATGGGCCAAGCGTGAGAGTTGACGAGGAGCTCTTTCTGAACTTGAGCGTTTGAGAGATTCATTGGCCTCCAAGAGGAGCTACTCGGTAGGTTTTAGGTCAGCTCAAGGAGGGTTGAGAGCTGGGATAGGAACTTTGGAGGCATCAGCAAGTGAAATTTGCTCAGTCATGTCTGACTCTTTGCAACCCCATGAACTATACAGTCCATGGAATTCTCCAGGCCAGAATACTGGAGTGGGTAGTCTTTCCCTTCTCCAGGGGATCTTCCCAACCCAGGGGTCAAACCCAGGTCTCCCACGTTGCAGGCAGATTCTTTACCAACTGAACCACCAGGGAAGCCCAAGAATATTGGAATGGGTAGCCTATCCCTTCTCTAGCACATCTGCCCAACACAGAAATTATCAGCTTGTGGTGTTTAAAACCATGGGACTTGAGTGAAGAGGGCTGGAGTGCAGAGAACACCTCTTTTGCATTTACAGGTTTAGAAGAGGCCTGGCATTTAAAGATTGAAAAGAGGAAAAGAAGCAGCAAATAAAATGGGAGTGTCCAGTGAGTAAAGAGGAAATCCAGGGGAGGCTGGTGATTTGGAAGATGGAAACTTTTACAAAGCAAGGAGTGACCAATGTGTCAGAGAATGAAGGAGTTGAGTAATAGGACTGGAAGTTGACCTTTGCAGTTGAAAATGTGGAGGTCTTTGGTGACCTTAAAAGGTGATTTTTTTGGAATAGAGGATTTTTCTGGAATGGTGAAAATTTGAATGGAGTGGATTCAAGAAAGGATGGAAATATGAGGACGTGGAGTGACTGAAGCAAGTCTAATAGCTGGTTTGACAAAACCAATTCCATCCCTGTTTTTAAATTTTAAAATAGCTAACACTTAGCAACTGCTGATGTGTAGCCCCTTCAGGAAGTTATATAATTGGAATAGAAAAAAATGCCAGTGTTTTTACTTTGCCCTTAGTTGGCATATATTTAGATGTGTTTTCTAGGTCTGCATGGAAAAGACTCAACTATCATCACTGGTGATGACTGAAATTCATAAGACTTAAAAAGCTAAGGCAGGAGGAGAAGGGGACAACAGAGAATGATGTGGTTGTATGGCATTACTGACTCGATGGACATGAGTTTGTGTAAACTCCGGGCATTGGTGATGGACAGGGAACCCTGGTATGCAGCAGTCCATGGGGTCCCAAAGAGTTGGACATGACTGAGTGACAGAACTGAAAAAACTATTGATGTGTATCTTACAAATGTCCTTCATATAATTTATCTAAGTTCATGTTAATATGATCCTCATTCATCTGTGATTACCTAAATTCATTAATCTTCTCTGACATAAAGTGGCATAATATCTTTAAGGATACTGTTCTGTAAGAAATGATTTCTATTTTAATGTACATCAAAACTACAGTGAAGTATCACCTTACACTGGTCAGAGTGGCCATCATCAAAAAGTTTACAAATAATAAGTGATGGAGAGACTGGAGAAAAGGGAACCTATACTGATGGTGGGAATATAAATTGGTGCAGCCAGAGTGGAACACAGTCCTGCTCCTGGGCATATATGGGAAAGACAAAAACCCTAGTTCAAAGAGATACATGCACCCCAGTGTTTTATAACAGTATTATTTACAGTAGCCAAGAAAAAGAAGCAACCTAAATGTCCGTCAACAGGTGAATGGTTAAAGAAGATGTAGTACATATATACAATGGAATATTGCTTAGCCATAAAAATAAATTAATTCCATTTTCAGTAACATGGATGGGCCTAGAGATTATCATACTAAACGAAGTCAGTCAAAGACAAAATATCATATGATATCACATATGTGGAATCTAAAAGATTGATACAAGTGAACTTATTTACACAACAGAAATAGACTCACTGACATAGAAAACAAGGTTACGGTTACCAATGGGTAAAGTGGGCGAGAGGGATAAATTAGGTGTTTGGGATTAACATCTACACACTATTATATAAAAATAAACAAGAACCTACTCTGTAACACAGGGAGCTTTATTCAGTATCTTGTAATAACCCATAATGGAAAAGAATCTGAAAAAGAATATATATATATGTATATGTGTACATGTGCTGTGTTTAGTCGCTCAGTCGTGTCTGACTCTGCGATCCCATGGACTGTAGCCCGCCAGGCTCCTCTGCCCGTGGGGATTCTCCAGACAAGAATACTGGAGTGGATTGCCCTGTCCTCCTCCAGGGGATCTTCGCAACCTAGGAATTGAACCCAGATTTCCCGAATTGCAGGTGGACTCTTTACTGCCTGAGCCACCAGGGAAGCCCAGGAATACTGCAGTGGGTAGCCCATCCCTTCTCCAGGGGATCTTCCCAGCCCAGGAATAGAACTGGGGTCGCCTACATTGCAGGCAGATTCTTTACCAGCTGAGCTACCCAGGAATCCCATATGTGTGCATATATGGGATGTCTGAATCCCATATCTGGGATTTGAATCACTTTGCTATACACCTGAAATTAATGCAATATTATAAATTAACTATAATTTTTTAAAACAGAGTTTCTTATTTTAAATCATAGTTTAAGAAAAGTTTGTGTACCTGAACTCTCTCAAAGCTTTCTGTAAAATGCATGCAGTTTTTTCCACTAGGAGGCGCAGTAGGAATGAAAATGGACTTCAGCCTTCAAACGGCTTCCATCCCGAGTGGTGATGGAGTGTGATGTTGATATTTCCTGTTTGTTTCAACTCCCAGAGCTAAGTCCCCATGAAGCAAAAGGGAACAAAATGCCACAGCATAGCTTTGCTTTATGCTTTTCTCCCCATCTGTTCCATTTGGAGTAGAATTAAAAGTCAATAAACATACAAAAATCAATAGCCTTCCATTAGACCAATAATGACAGAAAAGAAGGTGTAATAGAATAAAGTAGAATAGTCACAGTGGCCATCAAAAATCATGAAGCACCTGTGAGTAAACCTAGAACGTATATACAGAGGTTTTTTTGGGGACAATTATAAAACTATTGACGGAGGTAAAAGAAGACTTTAAAAAATGTAGGCCTATATTATGCTCACAGGTGGGATATGGCATATCAGTTCTCTCCAGATTAGTCTATAAATTCTAGGAATCCCGATTAAAATCTCAGCAGATGATTATGAATTAATTAGGAGAGAGGAATGGATTTTATAACTATTTTAGGTAGGAAAATAATACACTGCCTGTTTCATGCAACTATATAGTTTTTTCCTAGAGTGGAGGGAAACTGGAAGTGTTAGTCTCTCAGCCGGGTTAGACTCTTTGTGACCCCATGGACTGTAGCCCGCTGGCTCTTCTGTCTGTGGATTTCTCCAGGTGAGAATACTGGAGTGGGTTGCTATGCCATCCTCCATGGGATCTTTTCGACCCAGGGACAGAACCCAGGTCTCCCACGTAGCAGGTGGGTTTCCTGCTGCCTGAGCTGCCAGGGAGGCCATAGAGTGGAGGGAAGGAGGGGCCTTTTTCATGTCAGTACGTACCTTATTCACAGAAATAATAAAGTGAGTGCTAACACATGCAGTCTGTGCCACAAGCACATAGCATTTTCAGGTCCTCACAGTTACCAAGCTCTCCTACACTGGGCCTTTGCATGTGCTGCTCCCTTAGTTTCCTCTTTACCACTTTGAGTGAACCCTGGTCCAGCGGTCCCCAGACTCCTGGATCTAATTCCTGATGATCTGAGGTGGAGCTTCTGTAATGATAATAGAAATAAAGTGCACAATAAATAAAATGCACTTGAATTACCCCCAGACTACCCTCCACATCCGTCTATGAAAAAATTATCTTGCACGAAATCTGGTCCCTGGTGCCAAAAAAGGTTGGGGACTGCTGGCCAACACTACTCATCCTTGAAGTCTCAGTTTAGATCTTCTCCTTCTTGCCATAACTAGGCTTGTATCCCTTTTATCTGTCTCTGTCAGAGTAGATGGGTCTTCCCAGGTGGCTCAGGAGCAAAGACCCCGCCTACCTCTGGGTTGGGAAGTTAATAGTTTAGTAATACACTTAAGAAAATAAGTAAGTTACACTTAGGCAAATAAGTAACTAGCAGGGCTTCTCAGGTGGCGCAGTGGAAAAGAATCTGCCTACCAATGCAGGAGACAGGAGAGACCCAGATCTGAGATCTGGGCGGAGAATATCCTCAGGAGTAGGAAATGGCACCCTGCTCCAGTATTCTTACCTGGAAACTTCCATGGACAGAGGAACCTGGTGGATTACAGTATACGGGGTCTCAAAGAGTCAGACACAACTGAGCAACTGAGCACACACATACACAGGCATCAGAGTAGGTATCACAACCAACCAAGCCCTGTGCAGATCCTGACGATGCCCTTTGTCTCTTGCAGGTGAGGGAGTTTAAAGGTCAGCATTTTATCTTGGAGGAAGCAATCACAGGGGATTTTGCTTTGGTGAAAGCCTGGAAGGCAGACCGAGCCGGAAACGTGATTTTCAGGTATTACAGTGGTTTTAAAAAATGTTCAACGTGATGCCTTTTAGCAACATTATGTTTCTGAAATTATGATTACAAAATGGATACCTTGATGTGTTTGGTATTTAAAAATTTATTTTAAAGATTGCTTAAAATCAATCACGTGTGTGTGTGTGGAGGTGTGTGCACAACCATTGCTGTGTGGCCATGGTGGTTTGGTGCACTTGAGGACATCTGTTCTGACTAATTGGTGCCCATGGGGCACTGTTTGTTAACTATTTGATTCTATTCTAGTCTTGTATATAGTCACATATACTTTTGTCCTGTGTATTTTAGTGGCTAAGACTAATTACAGTGTTGTGACATACTTAGAAAAGCTGACAAAAGCACACAATTATATTTAATTTTGACATCATTATTTATAGGCATTGTCTTAAAACACCTAAGTTAGTTTGATATTCTGGAAAAATATTGCTAATAAGCATTTAGGTCAGTTCTTTTCCAGGCTTGTTGGTGTCTACTAGGAAGTGCTTATAAAGATGATGTTTGGAAAGTTGATTAACATTAATAATGCTTAGCTTTCATTTTCATTATCTGGATGGCCACATATATTAAGCCACTTAATAGATTTCAACATCTTTTGACTACCTTAAGCATACTAAATACCAAGTTTCAGTATCTTGGATTTAGGTATTATGTAGTTGTTTTTTGAAAATTGTGCCACCTTTGAATATACTTACAAAAGCTTTCAAAATGTTTGGTTTTGAAGACTTCACCTGTTAGGTTACCGAAATAGTTTTCTTTCTTATAATATGGTCCATTTCCTGCTTTTTGTTAGTGATTTTTAAAAAATCTTTACCAAATGCAGCTTTGGTATGATCACAGTTATCAGTGATCACTCTCACATTACTGTTTCATTTTTGAGGATCTTGTATGACATTGACGTCCCTGGTGGCTCAGATGGTAAAGAATCTGCCTGCAACACCTGAGACCAGAGTTCAATCCCTGGAATGGGAGGATCCCCTAGAGAAGGGAATGTATAACCACTTTAGTATTCTTGTCTGGTGAATCCCATGGACAGAGAAGCCTGGCAGGCTACAGCTCATGGGGTCACAAAGAATGGACACAACTGAGTGACTAACACTTTATATGACATTAAATATGTTGTATTTGATTTTTTGAGCTTAGCCAATTTTTTTGTTTGTTTGATTTTGTTTTTTTGATGGGGCCATGGAACTTAGGATCTTAGTTCCTTGACCAGGAATCAAATCTGTGCCTCCTGCAGTAGAAGTGCTGAGTCTTAACCACTGGACTGCCAGGGAAGTCCCCAAATTTAGTCAGTTTTTGGTATTATAACTAATTTCAGCAATTACAGAGGACATTGTGCATGCTATCTACCTTTATTTGACACCTTGGTGTAATGTTTATGAAGCTAATTTTTTTTTTGAAGATTAATGAAATTGTATAGTAGCAAATGGAAATGAATTACTTAAAATATTTCCATGAGTTTATCCTGTGCTTTACTGCCTGTTGTCTAAAGACAGCACAAGGGCTATTCTGAGCACAGACTTTATGCCTGTGGTTTCTGCTCAGTAGCCATTGAACTTTGATGTGAAAGGAGAGTGCTTGTCGCCAGTGGTCAGGTGGCCTAGATTCTTAAGATCTGACATCTAAGCTGACCTTCATGTTTAGTGGAACAACTGGTAGAGAGGTCTGTCTAGGCCATTGTTAGAGTGGGTGGGCCCTGCATGCCTGCACCTCAGGCCACTCTGTCCTTGGAGCTTTTGATGCTAGATGTTTGATGGAATCCAACACAGTAGCTTGTGAAAGTACATAGAGATATTCCTCTCTCAAGGACACACCTATTCTTGAATTCGAGTGAAAGAAACATTGCTAGCACAAAGGGCTGGTAAGACATGGCTGTGAATTATTTCTCTTTACCAAAGAATTTTTCCTTTCAATTTACACTCTCAGAAACAAGAACACATTTCAAGTTTTTTTTTTCCCATTTATTTTTATTAGTTGGAGGCTAATTACTTTACAATATTGTAGTGGTTTTTGCCATACATTGACATGAATCAGCCATGGATTTACATGTATTCCCAATCCTGATCCCCCCCCTTCCACCTCACTCTCCACCCGATCCCTCTGGGTCTTCCCAGTGCACCAGCCCTGAGCCCTTGTCTCATGCATCCAACCTCGGCTGGTGATCTGTTTTATTATTAGAGTAAGTGTATGAATTTAGGAACTTGGGAATGCAGAACCATCAGCAAAATTGGCCTCCTCTTTTTATACCTCAGGGTCTGATGTGGGGGTTGTAGTTTCAAAAATTTCATTAGTAGTTAGTTCTCCAGAATGATCTTTATAAGTGACTCACAAATTACCCATGAATGTTTCAGTTAATTTCAGCAATAGATTTCTCTTTAATAATGAGTATAATTACTATACCTTCTCAGATAAAGCACTTTCTACTCTTCTTAATATTTAACAAGAGCAAGTTCAGTGAAATATTTAACTATAGAAACAAAGTGGCATTTCAGTTAAAAGATTTAGAGAAATTAGACTCATTAATATTCATTTTATTTTTCTGTATATAATTATATGCTGAAAATGAAAAATAGTTCTTTCTCTTGTTAAGTGGCCATTGCATTGTTTTTATTTATAAAATAGCTATAGAACTTATAGAAAATATGATATACTCTTTTAAAAAGATTCACAGAGTCTTAGATTACAGAAATTCTTTTAATCTGTAATTATAGCTGAGAGAGACACTTCATATTTTTGGCCTTCTTTCCACACTTCCTTATTCCCTCACCCCTAATGTAGGAAAAGTGCAAGGAATTTCAACTTGCCGATGTGCAAAGCTGCAGAAACCACAGTGGTGGAGGTAAGAGAAGAGGTTATTTCTGATTTCCTAATGTTACTTTTTTAAAGTTGATGTTATGTGTTAGTTTAACAAAAAGTACTACAGTTCATTTGTTTTCATGAAGAAGGACAGTCACCATTTTTTTCATTTTGGATGTTGAAGGATTCTATTTAAATATATGATAGTTGAAACTTTGCTGGAATTTGAGCTTTCTGGTTAGCTAGGATCTCACTAGAATGCTCACTTTGGGAACCAAGCTATGAGGCTGACCAGCTCATAAAAATTCTTTGGTACTTGAGCAAAGTGGACCTTCTTGGGTAAAATCTCAGGGATGAATTTTTCTAAACAGAATCCCAAGGAAAATAATAAGTTGTATCAGGAGAAGTTCTTTATTTCACTGTGACAGAGAGTGGTGATACTTTGAGGAGGAAGGAGGGTAGTACAACTCATTGCTTTGATGTGGTTCTATTTGGGACAGTTGAATTAATGCACTAACTGACTCTCCTTTAAACATCTCAGAGTTTGTTCAGAAGAGACTTGAATAATTCTAAAACATGCATAGGGTTAAAGCTCTGGGATAGAAATAGGTGCTTATACCAAAACCCTGCCATTTTGTGTATATATATTGGAATGTAAAAGGAGACTTCAAAATGATTCATGTAGGCTTTGGGGATCACTTTGGAACCAGATTTTCATGGGATTTGAGATATATTTCCCCATGGAAGGGCTTTATAGGATCCCATCTTGGAATCTGGAAATGAGAATTTATGTTCTTGACTTTTCTTGTGATGGTACCATTGTACTGGATATCTTTTCATTCCTTCAAGCACTTGACCAAGATGATATTTCATGGAGGCAGTGCTGCTGTATTTTTTAAACAATCAAATGTTAGAATTCTGTTTCTCTCTTGGAAAGTACAGTGTATTATTATTATTTTACTAGATGGCCATAGTTTGGCTTCTTTTTTCCCCCTTTTATGGAAGAATGGTTAATTGACAGTATTTGAAGTGTACTATTTTTAAAGTGCTGGGAAATGTGTTACTATCAACACTGGCAGGATGGTTTCTTTTGCAATGGCTTCAGTATATTTTCTTCATTTAAAATAGATAATGTGCCCACTACAATACTGTAAAGTAATTAGCCTCCAACTAATAAAAATAAATGGAAAAAAAAGAAAAAATAAAAAAAAATAAAATGGATAATGTGATTTAATCTCTGTGCAGTTTTTTTTAATCAAATCATCTTAATGACCTCTCCATTGCACATACCTGTAACAGTACTGAAAAAAGCCTATAACACAGCTTAAACTAATTGATAGTTTAACTCTGTTGATTGTATGGACTTCTGTAAAACTGCCACAAATGAGTATTATTTCTCTGAGTACTATGGGGGCGATATGCATTGTCCTATGTGATGTTCTTTCTTTTTTTCCCTTTTATAATCTAGTTCTTTTCAGCCAGTCTTATCTCTTCTGAAAGCAGGAATGAACCCCTAGTAGTCTGAGAATTAGTGAAGATATTTGAAAAGATGTTCGCTGTTGGCATAAGGGAAAGGGAAGTAAAATCCTTTAATTGAGCCTGCAAATATGATAAAGGCTGCCCTCCCATGTATAAGAACAGACATCTCTTATTCACAGCACTCTGTCCTATTAGACACAGACTCACATTAGGATCCCCTTCAGTATAGTGCTGCTGACTGCCACTGCTAATTGATTATACCTGCACTGCCCAGTATGCTAGCTAGTACCCACATGCAACTTTTAGAATTTAAACAGTTGTTGTTGTTCAGTGACTAAGTTGTGTCCAACTCTTTGCAACCCTATGTACTGCAGCATGCCAGGTTCCTCTGTCCTCACTGTCCCACATTTGCTCAAACTCATGGCCATTGAGTTGGTGATGCCATCCAACCATCTCATCCTCTGTTACCCCCTTCTCTTCCTGCCCTCAGTCTTTCCCAGCATCAGGGTCTTTTCCAGTGAGTCAGCTCTTTATATCAGGTGGCCACATAATTGGATATTCATCTTTAACATTAGTCCCTTCAAAAAATATTCCAGGTTGATTTCCTTTGGGATTGACTGGTTTGATCTCCTTGCAGTCCAAGGGACTCTCAAGAGTCTTCTCCAACACCGCAGTTCAAAAGCATTAATTCTTCAACACTCAGCTTTCTTTATGGTCCAGCTCTCACATTCATACATGACTAATGGAAAAATGATAGTTTTGACTATATGGACCTTTGTCAGCAAAGTGATGTCTCTGCTTTTGAATATTCTGTCTAGGTTTATCATAGCTTTTCTTCTAAGGAGCAAATGCCTATTTTAATTTGATGGCTACAGTCACTGTCCGCAGTGATTTTTGGAGCCCGGGAAAATGAAACCTGTCACTATTTTCCCCATCTATTTGCCATGAAGTGATGGGACTGCCGTGATCTTTGTTCTTTGAATGTTGAGTTTTAAGCCAACTTTTTCACTCTCCTCTTTCACCCTCATCAAGAGGCTCTTTAGTTCCTTTTTGCTTTCTGCCATTAGTGTGGTATCTGCATATCTGAGGTTGATATTTCTCCCGGTAACCTTGATTCCAGCTTGTGCTTCATCCAGTCCAGCATTTTGCATGATGTACTTTGCATACAAGTTAAATAAGCAGTGTGACAGTACACAGTCTTGACGTACTTCTTTCCCAATTTTGAACCAGTCCATTCATTGTTCCATGTCCGGTCTTCACTGTTGCTTCTTGATCCGCATACATGTTTCTCAGGAGACAGGTAAAGTAATCTGGTATTCCCATGTCATAAAGAATTTTCCAGTTTGTTGTGATCCACACAGTCAAAGGTTTTAGCATAGTCAATGAAGCAGAAGTAGCTGTTTTTTTCTGGAATTCCTTGCTTTCTCTTTGATCCAATGGATGTTGGCAATTTGATCTCTGAGTCTTCTGCCTTTTCTCAGTCCAGCTTGTACATCTGGAAACTCTCGGTTCATGTACTGCTAAAGCCTAGCTTGAAGGATTTTGAGCATTACCTTGCTGGCATGAGAAATGAGCAGGACTGAACCTTCTTTGGCATTGCCTTTCCTCACCGTTGAGTTTTCCAAATTTGCTGGCATATTAAGTGCAGCACTGTCACTGCATCATCTTTTAGGATTTGAAATAGCTCAGCTGAAATTCCATCATCTCCATTAGCTTTGTTCATACTAATGCTTCCTAAGGCTCACTTGACTTCACACTCCAGGATGTCTGGCTCTAAGTGAGGGACCACACAATCATGGTTATCTGGGTAATTAAGATGTTTTTTGTGTGGTTTTTCTGTGTGTTCTTGCCACTGCTTCTTTTTTTTTTTAGTTGGAGGCTAATTACTTTACAATATTGTAGTGGTTTTTGTCATACATTGACATGAATTAGCCATGGATTTACATGTATTCCCCATCCCGATCCCCCCTCCCACCTCCCTCTCCACCCAATCCCTCTGGGTCTTCCCAGTGCACCAGGCCCAAGCACTTGTCTCATGCATCCAACCTGGGCTGGTGATCTGTTTCACCCTAGATAATGTACATGTTTCGATGCTGCTCTCTCGAAACATCCCACCCTTGTCTTCTCCCACAGAGTCCACAAGTCTGTTCTATACATCTGTGTCTCTTTTTCTGTTTTGCATATAGGGTTACTGTTACCATCTTTCTAAATTCCATATATATGTGTTAGTATACTATAATGGTCTTTATCTTTCTGGCTTACTTCACTCTGTATAATGGGCTTCAGTTTCATCCATCTCATTAGAACTGATTCAAATGAATTCTTTTTAATGGCTGAGTAATATTCCATGGTGTATATGTACCACAGCTTCCTCATCCATTCATCTGCTGATGGACATCTAGGTTGCTTCCATGTCCTGGCTATTATAAACAGTGCTGCGGTGAACATTGGGGTGCACGTGTCTCTTTCAGATCTGGTTTCCTCGGTGTGTATGCCCAGAAGTGGGATTGCTGGGTCATATGGCAGTTCTATTTCCAGCTTTTTAAGAAATCTCTACACTGTTCTCCATAGCGGCTGTACTAGTTTGCATTCCCACCAACAGTGTAAGAGGGTTCCCTTTTCTCCACACCCTCTCCAGCACTTATTGCTTGTAGACTTTTGGATAGCAGCCATCCTGACTGGCGTGTAATGGTACCTCATTGTGGTTTTGATTTGCATTTCTCTGATAATGAGTGATGTTGAGCATCTTTTCATGTGTTTTTTAGCCATCTGTATGTCTTCCTTGGAGAAATGTCTGTTTAGTTCTTTGGCCCATTTTTTGATTGGGTCATTTATTTTTCTGGAATTGAGCTGGAGGAGTTGCTTGTATATTTTTGAGATTAATCCTTTGTCTGTTGCTTTGTTTGCTATTATTTTCTCCCAATCTGAGGGCTGTCTTTTCACCTTGCTTATAGTTTCCTTTGTTGTGCAAAAGCTTTTAAGTTTCATTAGGTCCCATTTGTTTATTTTTGCTTTTGTTTCTAATATTCTTGGATGTGGGTCATAGAGGATCCTGCTGTGATTTATGTTGGAGAGCATTTTGCCTATGTTCTCCTTTAGGAGTTTTATAGTTTCTGGTCTTACGTTTAGATCTTTAATCCATTTTGAGTTTATTTTTGTGTGTGGTGTTAGAAAGTGTTCTAGTTTCATTCTTTAAAGGTGGTTGACCAGTTTTCCCAGCACCACTTGTTAAAGAGGTTGTCTTTTCTCCATTGTATATCCTTGCCTCCTTTGTCGAAGATAAGGTGACCATAGGTTCGTGGATTTATCTCTGGGCTTTCTATTCTGTTCCATTGATCTATATTTCTGTCTTTGTGCCAGTACCATACTGTCTTGATGACTGTGGCTTTGTAGTATAGTCTGAAGTCAGGTAGGTTGATTCCTCCAGTTCCATTCTTCTTTCTCAAGATTACTTTGGCTATTCGAGGTTTTTTGTATTTCCATACAAATTGTGAAATTATTTTTTCTAGTTCTGTGAAAAATACTGTTGGTAGCTTGATAGGGATTGCATTGAATCTATAGATT